TGCCAGTTTGATTTGTACTCTGTTGTGATGCCATGATAAAGCTGAAGTGGCTCACTACATGCAGAATGCTTGTACAATATATAGTGAACAGAGGATGTGATTGTTAAGTGGAAAAAAAACATTCAATGGATGGTTGGATAATTTGCCAGCAAATAACTCAAACTCATGTGTATGGCAAGCTTTACGACCATTTCACTAACAATAACTATGAAACCACGTTACATGTTATAAACCATTTTAACATTTTGATGTGTCCATGATATGCAAATATAACCGAGTTTACGAGTATTGTTAGCAGTAACTTGCCTTCTTGAAGGATTCTTTCTAGGGAATTGTAAAAACCTACAAGATATATAGCCATATTTGAAGTTTACCTAGCAACTCAGCAACACATACAGCACACCGTAGTCAAAGAAGTTTGTCATTTTAATGACAGTGCAAAATATCATTAGTCATGTAACCAGCAGAAACAAATGTAAGTGCAATTGTAGCAGAGCTTAGTTTAGTACATAAGATTTCACAGGGGTGTCCAGACAGATGACTGATAAAATGGAAGACAGCCTGCCCTCAGTTTCTAAAACTGAGAACACAACTCAAAGGATGAGAAAAAATCTCAAGGCAACCTGTGATGCTCTAGCTGTCATTGAACTGCAAGTCCTAGCACGTCCTGCTAGCCAGTGGCAGGCTGGGATATGTATTTCCGCTGGAGAGCTTAAGTTTGCCTACCTCTAAAGAGATCTGGTTTAGTCAATTGAAAGCACAATTTTGTGATGAAGTCACTTTCTGTAAAGTAAAATTTTTTAACTTACTGAATTGTATCTTGTCAGCTGTTGTGCTGGCAATGCTATTTTATTGTTTTGCTTATATTGCAATCCCTTTGTATTTAAGGCATTTTTGGGGCAGAGCCTCAGGTGGTATTAACAGTTACCATTTAGACTTGTGCTATATATAACGATGAAGATAAACAAGGCAACATTCTTTTATTAAACTGAAAATAAGCACAGTGGCAATTGAATTTTGATTTTAAACCCATCATTTACGCTTTCACACTTTGAAATGAATCTTTCAAAGGTGACACCCAAGAGTATACAAGACTTACAAAACAATGCAAAGATCTACTGTCATAAATTAACTGTAAACTGTACATTGGAGGTATAAAGCATAATCTTCCTCTTACAAAGAAAAATCTCTCAGATAACTGTATGTGTTTTGTTTGCCTTTTATTTCCCTCCTCTAACATAAATTTAACAATACTGATGTGTGTTGTTCTTCCCATGTGTTCCTTTCAGGAACTTAAATTATATGTATTATTTCTGCGGTTTTTTTATTAATAAGCCACTTGTACATGAATAAAGGCTGTTGCCTAAACACCGAGTACTTCATTTGTTCTGAGTGTGCCATTTGCTGTGACATCATCAACTTCACAGTATTTTTTTTTTATTACTCTGAATGGTTTTGATAGAAAACTCCATAGAACATTTGTGTCTGTGACAGTATTGGACACTAGCTGTGCAGCTGAGACATTATCAATGGGGGTAATTTACTAAAATATTTGGGGCCAAATAAGTGGGAAATAATTGGATATTTATATAGTTTAAGCACTGGAATGTTTGGGGGGATCTTTTCTCTAGCAGTTAGTATAAATGCCCCGTGCCACCAGCGTTTAATTAATTTTTGTATTCAGTATGAGTAGGCATCCATTATTGAAACAACAACACTTTTTTTTAAGCCTTCCCAAATGTGCATATATCATGGACAGGTGTCCAGACAGTCTACACCACTCTTAAAAATGTACCACTGACTTCTTGAGTCAACTCAGGGGCAGTAATAACACTAATAGCGTGCACAGTAACTACATTCACAGCTACTATCTCAGTAAGATGGACCCTATGGCTTGGAATGAGCATTAACCAAAATACATACTGCTGAACTACAATCAGGTAGACTGTTTTAGTTTCTAAAATATTGAAAATTTAAATCTGATTGGATGTCAGCAATAACAGGACATTGATGTACTTGGCTGCTTAAAGAGACACTGTTGATTTGTCTATGCAGGACAAAGTGAGATTGGGGTTGATATGCTAAAGACAAACAGGTTGTTCGCTTTGCAGGGGAACTTTTAGTCATCATCCAATTTTTTTTATTTTCCTTGCATGTGATTGGATTTTCTTTGCAAAGTAAATGTTCACCACATTCACTAAGCTAAAGGAAATTTGCAAAGTGAACAGCCTATTTGCTTTAGTAAATCAACCCCTGTCTTCAAAGGGCATCCTCCAACCCCCATAGGCTCACCTGACCTATGCTTCCTCACAGTTCTGTCGAAGCTGAAATCAGAAGGGTTGGTGACCTTGGGGAGTGGTGACATCACACCCTCACTGTGTGACAGTGCTCACCCATGTGACAGTGCTTGGGCCTAGCAATTGGGTTGCTTGGTATTTGGCACTGTCACAGGGGACAGGGCACGTGTTCCCTCATACCTGGAGGTTTTGGGTATGGCGAAGCAAAGACAACATTTACAGGGTTATTCACAAAAGGGTTAAGGGTTTAAAGAAGGCAGGAGAAGGGAACAGTCTAGGCCAAAATAGCTGATTTGGAAAAATTCTCTAATCCAACTCACTTTACAGTTCAGCTATGCTGTCCTAGATTGTTCACTTCTTCTGTCTTCTCCAAACTCTTCATCTTTTTGTGAATAGCCCTGGGAGTTCCCAAATTAGTTACTGACTGAATATAGTTCATGAGCTCTTCAGAAAATCCCTGATCGATAGCATTTTAGAAGGCATAGAAGGCACATTTACCCATTTGTAGTTTTTAACCAGCTATACAGTGACACCATTTGACAACCAATTTACATCCTATTTGCCCTTATTTGGCTCCAGAAATCATCCCCATTTTAACCAAAGATATTAAGCAATCTGAGACTTCTGGAAGAATGCGATACTGGAATTTAACACTTAATAAAACACCCATTGTCTTTTAAACATTAGAGTTATCCATTCCTGCTTTGAATTTTTACGCATTTGTGCTAGTCAGAATAATATTGTTCTAGCTTGGATTGCTTCAGTTGGTTTTATGTATCATTTTAGTTTTATTTTGTAGTTTTATTTCTATTAGTATTTTTAATGGAAAGTTTGTAAAAGAGGGAGATCAAACGTTGCTTTCTGCCCAATAATAACACAGGCTCACAGCAACATAAGCTGGACTTTGTTGCCCCTA